TGTGTGTGTGTGTGTGTGTGTGTGTGTGTATGTGTGTGTGTGTCGCAGAGGGAGCCCTGCTGGAGGGGAGCAGTGGCAGGCTGGCAGTAGGGAAAGCAGGAGAGGAAGCAGGGGCAGCCAGCCAGGGAGACAGAATGCAAGGAGAGGCCCACCCCCTACCCACTTCTGCCTCACTTCCCAGCACCTCCTGCAGCTCTGCTTCAGCTTCCCTTACTAGCCCACTGCTGGTTCGGAGAGCCATAGCCCTAGTGGGGTGAGGAGAGGGCTTCCCTGTAGAAGTGCCAGCTGACCTCTTCACACCCTACAGGACCAGAGGGGAACCCTTCAGTGGCCTCCAGGGCCCTCATTCATGTTCTAGCCCTTTTCCATCCCCTGGCTCAGCCCACTCCCCTCCCTGACCTTCTCGCGGGAGCCAGTGGCACGTGGTCACCCACAGGCTGTGCGCTCCTCAGTTCCTAACAATGTGGCCCCAACAGGGCTCACTCCTTGGTGCCCCCGTTTCCACAGGCAGTAAGACCTGCTGCTGGGCTGGGGTACGTGTACGGGCATCCACTGAGCGCCTGATGGGGGGTATGGGGGCAGACCACTCTGCTTATGTTCAGTATCAACTCCGCCCTCTGCAGGAATGGGGGTCTCTGGGGGTTCTGAGGCTGCCCTGAACCAGCACACACAGGGGCCTGTCTGTCGTGACTCTGCTGCCCTCAGGCGGGGGAGTCGAGCCCACCTCTGGGTCATCACTATTTTCTAATAGGAAACTTCCCAGCTACTGGTTTCCCATTTAGATTGTCAGAACCTCCAGTCAACCTCCCTGAACTTACAGGGCAAGGAGGCCCGCCCTGTACAGGATCTGAGCCTGTATCTTACTCCTCACGGAGCAGAAGGCAGAAAGCCTCATTCTCCACACCCCCTTGTCCCGCCACAGCAGCAGGTGATTTTAAATTGCTGACTTTGGGGGGTGGGGGCACAACATGAAACCCACGAAGCCGCCAGGGTCCCCACCACAGAGGTGGTCCTTCACAGGAGAGTCAGGACCCTGGCAGGCCCTCTTCACTAGGTACTGTTTGGTTAAAGAAGGTCTTAGGGGGCATTCTTGGTCTGAGGTTGCAGGCACAAAGAGACCACGCCCCTAAACTGCAACACCTCCTCCAAGCACTCTCCTGCTCCCCACCCCCACCCCCACCCCACCCCTAGGTTGGGCTGAAGAGGTTGGGGAAGTATGTACCCCCAGGGTACTTCTCTGGAGGCGCACTGCTTCCAGTGCCATCACCGCTCCCAGCCCCTACTGCAGCAGCTGATCTGTGATCTTCCCACTGCCCCTTTATCCGGATCACTGCCCATAATATTGTGTGGCTCTAGAGCAGGCCTCTCTGAAAAGTGAACCCAGCCACTGGGCTGAAGGATTTGACACTGGCCCCCCAAATGTAATGAGGTGTCATTCAACAATGTAATTTTTCAACCTTGATCTGAGAGATGGCGAGAGCGACCAGAACAACCGAGAGAACATACTTTGCTCAGTGAGTGAGCATTTCTCAAACACACGTGGAATGGTTACAACGGGCTACCTACTAGACTGGAAATGGAAATCTCAGCAAATGCAAGAAGCAGAAATCAGACATGAACAGAAACCCAGGGTAAAAGGAAAACATCTGAAAGTGGCCGCCTTCTGGCTCCTCAGAGCAGAAGTTAGTGTGCTGAACTGAATGGACGAAGACAGTAATCAAACCTCAGGCTTGAGGCCAAAGTGGTACTCAAAGGAACTCATTTCAGAAAACAAGACAGACTGGGAAATTAATTCAGCATCTAAGTGAAGAGGCTAGAAAAGAAAACAGAAAATAAACCTCAAGAAAGACAAAATCATCAGTAAAAGGAGAAATTGGGAAAATGGGAGGAGGGAGAGAGTAATTGTGATCTAGAAATCAAAAGCGGATTCTTGACACCCATCGGCCCTGCCTTTTCTCTTTGGAAAGACCAACCAGGACCTTCGGCAGCTCTGGTCCCAGAGAGGAAAGAAAGTCAGCAGCCTTTGACGCGATGCCTGTGGGTACAGATACATATTTAATTATGAGCGAATACACGGTTCACACATAGTTTTAGGGCCATCTATTTACAAGTCAATGAAACTATACATGGCGAAGCCAAAATTGGTTAAACTTTATGTATATAAAATATGTACTGTCCGATAATTCTAGATGGAATTAAGGAAACAAAGCCTACCTCACAAATGTCATAAAGCAATTCTTGTGATCTAGAAATTGCTCCACAGTACAAAAAAGACAAAACTTTCCAACACACCCTAAGAACCTACTATACTGTAAAGAAGAAGGCAGCACGTGGGCGTGGGGCGGCTGCCTGGAGAGCCCCCTTGTGAAGCGCAGGGGCTGCTGTACTCTTGGGGAAGTTGGGGGGCCCGGGATGTGTGCCCAGTCATCCACTCAGCAAGTCCCTTCTAACCCTGGTCCTGAGGGCAGGAGGGGGGACCACTGCTCACACTGGGCATCTCCTTTTCATAAGGCAACCGAACCCCGCGTGGGTTTTTGTGTGTAGAGGAATTTCTCTCATTTTACATCGCGCCCTTAAAGGTGGTGAAACAATGAGCTGCGTTTCCCTATGAAGTTTCTGAGGGGCTCCTTGTTTGGTGCCATCTTGCTGCCTCTGACTCTGGGGGACCCTCTGGGTAGCAGAAGGAAACAATGCCCTCTCTGTGCCATCCTCACCATTGTTGCAGCCACCGTGCCAACCCTTCTTCTTCAGGGTCTTTTCTTCTCTGAACTTCTACTTTCTCAAACATGGCGTCCTTCTCCAGGGACTGGTTTCTCCTGATAGCGTGTCTAAAGGACGTCCGGCAAAGTCTCTCCATCCTCCCTTCCAAGGAGAAATCTGGCTGTAGTTTCTCCAAGATAGATTTGTCTATTCTTCTGGAAATAATATGTCTTGCCTGTCTGTACACAATTAGACATCCCCTCAGAGAAGAGTCACAAGGAAGGGACCAGCCAGCCAGGGTGCAGTATAGCACCGATGAAATGCACAACATTCCTCTAGTTCTTTAATGCCCTGCGCCCCCCCCCCCCCATCATAACCCCAGTTCTGCTTTACAAATCCGGCTAGACCAGAGCATGTACACTGGTACAGATAGGAGTTCTCGACACACAGAATCCAGGACAGATGAACCCCCTCAGGACCAATAATGAGAGTAGTGATACCACGAGGGTAGGGGAAAGGTGGGGGCAGAAGAGGGAGAAAGGGAGAACTGGTCGCAATGATCAACGTATAACACCCCACTTTCAGGGGGACAAACAACAGAAACGTGGGCAAAGGGACACAGCAACTGTGTAAAATATAGAAGATAAAAATAATTCATAAATTATCGAGGGTTCATGAGGATGGGGAGGGAGGGAAAAAGAGGAGCTGATACCAAGGGCTCAAGTAGACAGCAAATGTCTTGGAAATGATGATGGTAGCATATGTACAAATGTGCTTGCTATAACTGATATATGGATCATTATAAGAGCTGTAAGAGTCCCCAATAGAATGAATTACTAAAGTAAAAATAAGTAAAGAAATGAAATACCACGGCTGGGGCCAGGCACACCTTAGGTTTCAAAGTGGCACCCGTGCCCTTCAACACCTTCAGAGGTCTTGCGCAGCAGATTGACCGAATCCAATACTTGGTCCAAGTTTTCTCACCTCTGCTTCCATGAGCATTGACCATGGAGCCAAAGGAACTGAGGTCCTGGACCACTTCCATCTTTTCTCCCTGTATCACGACGGGTCCCAACAAGGATTTCAGTGTCTTGACATTGAGTTGTAATCCAGACTGAAGGCTGCGGTCCTTGATCTTCACCCACAAGGGCTTCACGTCCTCCTCACCTCAGCAAGCAAGGTTGTGTCCTCTGCACACGGCAGGTTGCTCCTTCCGCCGATACCGCGTTCGTCTTCACACAGTCCTGTTTCTCCGATGGTGTGCTACAGCTTGAGAAGCTGCACCGCTGACACCCAGCTTCTCTGTTTTTAAATCACGTAGCACATTCCCTTGTTCTGTCTGAACAGCTACCTCCTGTTGGAACTGTTCCCCACTGGCACCATGAAGTGTTCTGAGAGTCCCACTCTTCGCAAGGCTGTCCTGAGCTTGCTAGGGTCCTCCGGATGTATGCCCTTGCATAGTCAATAAAGCACAAGTCAACATCTTTCTGGGGTTCTCTGCATTCAGCCAAGACCGTCAGCAGTGATGTCCCTTGTGCCATGTCCTTTTTTAAAAAAAAAAATAACCACACCATGTCCTCTTCTGAATCCAAGTGTAATTTCGTGCAGCTTCCTGTCAATGTACTGCTGTAACCGTTGTTGAATGATCTTCAGTAAAGATTTTACTTGCAAATGAGATTCATGATATCATTAGACAATTTGTTCACATCCCCATTGGGTCACCTCTCTTTAGAATGGGTGCATACGTGGATCTCGGCCAGTCAGGTTGGCCAGGTAGCTGCCTTCCAAATTTCTTGGCATAGGCAACCACGAGGTGTCGAAGGGATCAGGTGTAAGGCATCATCAGAACAAAAAATCTTACCATAGTGAATGATGGGGGGAGTGCAGAGTGGAGATCCAAAGCCCATTAGTAGGCCACGGGAGATACCCTTGCCGAGGGGTCTCGGGGAGGAGATGAGCCAGTCAGGGTGTGATGTAACAAAGATGAGAAATACAACTTTCCTCTAGTTCCTAAATGTTTCCTCCCCGCTCCCACTACCATGACTCGAATTCGATCTTGCAAGTCTGGCTAGACCAGAGGAGGTACACTGGTACAGATAGGAACTGAAAATACAGGGAATCCAGGGCGGATGAGCCCTACAGGACCAGTGGTGTGAGTGGCAAAACAGGGAGGGTAAAGGGAGAATGGGTAGGAAATAGGGAACCGATTACATGGAACTGTGTGTGACCTCCTCCCTGGGGGACAGACAACCAAAAAATGGGTGAAGGGAGACGTCGGACAGGGCAAGATATGACAAAATACCCATTTATGAACTATCAAGGGCTAATGAGGGAGCGGGGAGCGGGGAGGGAGGGGAAAAATGAGGACCTAATGTCGGGGGTTTGGGTGGAGAGAAAATGTTTTGAGAAACAATGTACAAATGCGCTTTACACAATTGATGTGTGTATGGATTGGGATAACAGTTGTATGAGCCCCTAATAAAATGTTTTAAAAAAATTTTTTTTCTTGGCATAGGTGAGTGTTTCCAGTGATTCATCACCTTGTTGAAACATTTCAATGGATATTTAGGCTCAGATTTTAAAAGAAAGAAAAAACTAGGGAAGGGATGCTCCCTTATGCTTGGTGTGATGAGGGCAGGATTTAGGGAAAGGGGAGATTCGATCCTGGTTGGCAGGCTGGATAGACAGAATACAGACATCGAAGACGGGAGCTGGGCAAAGGCCTTCGAGGCAGAACAACATCATGGAGGCTGGAAGGTAAGGTCCATGATGGGGAAGAGACGGATGGAGGATGAGACAGGGAAACCAGAAACTGGGGCACTTTGGATCCCAAACTAAAGCATCTGGACTTGGTGGGTGCTCGGGAACAACCGAAGGTTTGGAGAGGAAGAAGCGAGGTCTGGAGGTCAAGTGGGGAGCCAATGAAGAGGGGTCTGCAAGCAGCAGGCCGGTGGAGGGGCGGCGGAGGAGGGAAGGCATGGGGAGACACTGAGAACACCGAACAGACAGCATGGTCAAGCAGGGAAGACAGGGAATTTGGGAATTCCAAACAGGTACAGCCAGAGAGGAGGACGTGGGGCTGCTCTGGTCCTGGTCCTGGTCGATTCCGTTCCCCGTGCCCGCTCCTGCCCCTCCGCACGCACAATGGGAAGTGCTTCCTCACAGCCTCTCAGCAGCAGCTCTGCCAGGAAGACAGGGGGGGAGGGGGGGGACTGACGACAGGGCAGCTATGTTTTTACGGAATTATGTTTCCACCTGCATTCCCCATGCCTGGTGCCATTAAGGCGGGAGGACTCCGGAGCTAGAAAGTATTAGTCACTGTGGGTGGGTGCGTGTGAGTGAGAGTGTGACAGTGACAGAGAGGGGCCAGCTGCTGGAGAGTAAAGAACGTGAGATCCGGAGAGAGAGAGGGGCAGCCCGCTCTTGCTGCAGCGGAGGAGACAGGCACCTGGGAAAAGGCCTTGCTGCTTCAGCGTACCTGCCTGGGTTCCGTGGCAATTTCCACCTGGGTGGCATCTGTCTTCCACGCCTCCGCTTGTTGGCTTGCATTTCATCTCTTTTATATCTCACGACTCACCCTATCCTCATCCTGCCTCATGAATATGACAATCCGTTCCCAAATGGGCTCTTAGCTCCAGGCACAGAGGTTGGGGCCCATAACGCCAAGTAAAATAAGACAGCTACAATAGGCCTCATCTCGGGTGACGTTCTGTTTTTCAGGAAGGTCCCGAGCAGGCATCTCCAGAGAGACAGACCACAGACTGGCATTTCATGAGCTCGAAGGCAGAAGACAGTGGGAATGACTGTTAATGCTGCCAGTGTTTTCTTCAAGGGGCGAACATGTTCCAGAACAGCACAGAGGAGCCAGTTGAACAACTTTGTGACTGTACTAAAAACACTTTATTGTACATGTTCAAATGGGGGGATTTTATAAGGTGGAAATCCTGTCTTGATTCACAAAATTATTTAAGGGAAAAAAATCAACCCACCTCCCTTTCTCTGAAGCGCGTGTGCTGCCTACCTCCTGGCTACAGCGGCTGGCTCCCCTGCTCCTGCCCAAGACCACCCTCATGGGCCCTGAGGCTGTGGCTGCCGCTTCTCCACCACCATTCCCTCTCTGTGGGCTCATTCCCACAGTACGCAAGCAGACTGATCCCTACCATCTTAAGAAAACAAAACCAACCCTTGACCTCGCTACGCCCATGTCTCGCTTCCTCCTTATAGCACCACTCCTGGACTTGTGTGTCCATCTTCCTCTCGGTCTTGAACCCACACCACTCTACCAGCCTTGGTCTTGTCCAGGCACAGCGAGCTCCTGCCACCACATCCTGCAGTGCTCCCCAGTGCTCATCCTCCTGGCCCTCGCGCCAGCACTCGTAGCGATGGACGGCTCCTTACCTTGAAGCACCCTTTTCACGAGGCGTTGGACGCCACCCTCCAGCCTCAGTGCCTGCCCTGTCTGTATCTCCTCATCTCCTAAACACTGGTGCCCCAGGCTTGGCCCTGGGACCCCTTCTCGCCCCCCAACTATATTCAACTCCTCGGTGGTCTCTCACCTCTTCTCAGGGCTTCATCTGCCACTTCCATGGGGCCCAATCGCAAGGTTCCATCTCCAGCCGGCACTTCTCCCAACGCCAGGCTCATGGCTGCCGGCTGCCAGCCTGACTTCTGTTTCCATGGCAAAGGCAGCTCAGAGTGAACGTGTCCAAAATGAGAGTGCTGAGTGCCTCCCCAAACGTGCTTTCCACCGCCTTCCTAATCTCAATGACTATCATTCGAGTCTAGCAGTTGAGGGGGCCACAAATGGCCTTTCCTATCCCCGCCAACCCCCCAACCCCCAGGAAATCCAGCTGCCTCATTCCTCAGGACTACATCCAGACTCTCACTCCCCCTCCCCGGCCCTAGGCCACCCATCATCAGGAGCCTCCCAGCTGACCACCCCGCATCTGCTCTGGGTCCTTTACCTCCGTTCTTGAAACTGTAGCTCGAGCCTTTTGAAACAGTCATACCATGCCCCTCCTCAGCTCAGAACCTCCTAGGCTTCTTATCTCCCTACAAGGCGCTAGGGAGCAGCTCTACAGCCTCCCCTCCCACTCTGGCCCCCCTGCAGCCCCCCATCATGAGCTTCCCTCCCGCCTTCCTCAGGAGGCCCGAGCCTCGCGGAGCGGCCGGGCTGCCTCACAGGGCAAGGGGAGCACAATGCAGGCTTGGGTCCCTGGCTTTGGGGTCGGAAGGACCAAAGCCCAAGGACTGTCCCTGTACAGCCCACAGCCCCCGTGCTCTCCACAGGACACTCCGCCTGCCTCGGTCTGTGCTTCAGGGCCAGGCCCTTGGTGGACCCACCAAGCCCTCCTCCCATATTCCAACCCATGGTGCTCTCTGTTCCTAGATTCTCTGACCTACAAAAGCAAAAACAAATAAAACCCACTGCCATTGAATCAATGCCAACTCATAGTGACCCTATAGGGCAGGGCAGAACTGCCCCTGTGGGTTTTCGAGACCGTAACTCTTTACAGAAGCTGATAGTGGCTGGTGGTTTCAAACTGCTGACCTTGCCGTTTGCAGCCCCATGGCTCCTAGGGTGAGGAGGAAGGGGGCTTGAATCCGTTGTGTGACCTTGACCTTGGCTAAGTTACTTTACCTCTTGCAGTCTCAGTTCCCTCACAGGCAGGAGGCCAACCCAAAGGGAGGGTTCTGTTTGGGATGTTTAGGGAAGTGCCCTGGGGGAACGGGCAGCGATTTCCCGGATTTCCTGATGGATTTCCCGGTGGTAGAGAAGGTTATTTCACTATCTGATCAACGAGGACAGCAGGATTGGCAAGTACTGGCTGAGCAGTGGCACACCCACCTGTAATGTGGACACGGGACGGGGTTCCAGTCCAGCAAAAGTCCCCAGGGCCCTCAGCATAGACCTGTGCGGCAACAACAGCCTGGCCCATGGCCTGATGGCAGCTGTTCTCCGGAGGAGGGCAGACCCAGCCACGGGAGACAGACAGGGAGACAGACCTGGCCTCCCTGTCAGGGAGGATGTTCTTGCAGCCAGCGCAGCCACAGGCACCTTGGGGACCAGTGAGCGCCACGTTACTGGGAGCTTTGAGCAGAGAAAGCTGGTGGCTCCATGGAGGGTCAGGGAAGTCTGCAGGGGTGCGGTGGGGGTGGGGGTTCATCCTCTCAGCCAAGCAGCCCTGCTCCTTCATAAAGGGCCTCCCCTGTACTGGTGTGGGAGGGCAGGCCAGCCCGTACCTGGCTGGGGACCTTGGGGAAGTATCTACTCAGGAGTAGGTTTAAGGGTTTCTGGGTTTAGAAGTTCATCGGGCGGAGCCCCTGGCTCTGAAAACACTTTCAGTAAATTTTCCTTTCATCTCGCTGCTCCTCCGATCTTCTCCCCAGTCTACCCAAGAAGAACGTAGACTTAAGAGTTCCGGGCCAGCCAGAGCCAGCCGTCCCCTGCCTCCCCCAACAGACGACAAAAGCAGTGTGCCAGAGGTTTGGGCAGTGCACAGGGTGGAAATGCCCCAGCTTCTGAGGGAGCAGACTAGCCAGCGCTTTTGTGCTCTGCAAAGATGGGAGACCTTCCGGGAGACAGGGGGACAGAGAGGCTGCAGCGCTGGGCTCAAAAACCCATCGTTGGGAAGGGGCATCCGGGGAGAGGGGCAGAGGGGCCCACTGCTCTCTGTTGACAGAAGAATGATGCAGTTTCCAGAGGCATGCTGGGCACAGGGCGGGGCTGGGAAGGCCCCAGAAGAGCTGCTCCATTACAAGTGGGCAGGACACTCGGTCAACATTGTACTCTAGAGGTCGGTGGCTCAGGCCAAAGTAGGAGGCAGCATGGCAGGATGGGGACAGGCCTGGCAGAGTCAAGAGACCCAGCCAAGATGTGGCTCTGCCTCCAGCTGGGTCAGACCCAGGCAAAGCACTTCTCCACAAGCCTCAGCCGACAGTGGGGGTGCTGGAACCACGGAGCTTCAGAAGTTCCCAGCTTAACAAACAAGTAGACTCCCTACACAAGAACTCTAGGGTTTGGCCAAGCTCAGGGTTTCTGATTCCTCAAGCAGAAGAGGAGTAAAGGAAGTCGCACTGCAGGAGGTCAGGCGAGGAGGGGTCCAAAGAAAGAGAACCTTGCAGACCCCACAGGAGAGGAATTGAGCCCAGCTGGTGTGGGAGATGCTTCCAGAGCATCCTTGGCAATGGAAATACACACACTGATGGCCCCTGACCTCTGTAGGAAAGAACTTACAGCAGGATGACTGCAAAGCCTGGGGTCCCACACACCCTGGAGAGCCGGGACGCTGCTTATGCTGGGAAAACAGCGAAAACAAGGAGGTGGTAAGTACAAGGGAAGCCTCACTGAGGAAACTACAGACGGAGAAGCCATCCTGAGCTAGCTCAGGCCTTAGATTCAAACTGGAACCGGAGACCCGGGCCTTTGAGCAACCTTGGACAGGAGTCAGGGCGACAGGAGAGTGTGTGCCTGCTTGCTGACCCTGCTGACTCAGCCACCTCCCTTCCAGGGGCAGCAGGGGTCAGCTCTGTCATGAGGGGGAGGATTTTTCTTCCCATGGAGGCTGAGAGACCAGAGGGGACAAGACGAGGGCGGAGTACAACTAGCTAAGTAAACGGCTATGTGCTTTCCTTTTTGAACCTCTCAAAATGCAGACAACTACAGTAGCTAACACAAGAGTGTTTGGGAAGATTAAATATGAGCCAAGGCAATGTGCTTAGCACAAGGCCTGCCACACACTAACGGCCAGATAACCACCATTACTGTCATCATCATCATCATCATCATCATCATCATCATCATCATCATATCACCACCATCACCATCACCATCATCACCACCACCACCACCACCATCATGCTGTCATATTTTAGCTAATTCTGCATTTGAGAGGAAGGAAGGGACCCCAGAGGTTAGAGTGAGCAGAGTCCTTTTGGCATACAGGGTGACCTCAGGCATCCCTGGCATGACACTTCCCCACCGTGGGGTGGACCCCAAGGAAGCAGGACTCCAGGACTCTCGATGCCCAAGGAATGGAAAAGAAGGTCCTCGGCCTGATAAATGGGGCACTGTGTAGACCTGCTGCACAGCCCTCTTAACCGTGTTGAAGGGCAAGGACGTCACTCTGAGGAGTCAGGTGCGCCTGACCTGAGCCAGGGGGTTTTCAGTGGCCTCCTCTGCACGTGAAAGTGGAATAGTGAATAAGGATGACCAAGGAAGAATTGATGCATTTGAAAGACGGTGAGGGTGTGTGGGAAACAGAGAGATTTCTTCCAAGTCGCAGCCCCCAAATATATGTTAGACTTAGGACACTGCTTGCAGCTAATGGGAAATGATTGTCAAGTTACCTCCCTGAAGGCAGTCAGCTGCCAGACCACCACAGGCAGGGTCCACTCCCTGCTGTTAAGGACAATGGGCTACTTCTCCTTAAAGGTGTGTGACCATTATTAGTCTGGTCCTGTAGGTGGGGTTGACACCCTACTGATAATGGTTTCTATGGAGACCCAGGGAGCAGATCAAACCTGCTCAGTGACATCCAAAGTTAGGCTGCCATCCTGAATCTAGGATCCACCCATCTTGTCACATGTATACCCACAATCCTTCCTCTTCCTATTGCGAGTATATCCCTAGATCACCCCCTCCCATTGCTGTATTACCTATAGCACAACCCCTTCCTGTGATGTATGTCTTTACCTGTAATTAGTGGCCTTGCATGCACGCCCCCCCCAAAATATATAAGCTTTGGTTAGCAATAAAGATTCTCCTTGGCCTCTCGTCAGTCCCCTCTCCTCTCAGGGCCTCTCTCCCCTGTTCCCTTTCCCCTTGTCCTCCTCCCCCTCTCTCCTGCCCTCTCATCTCCTCTCTCCACGTGAACCACCAAGCGGGGCTGAGGTGAACATGCTACCATGAAATGTGTCTGACTCCATTATTTCAATCTCTCTTTTATCTCTCATGCTCTCTATTATAATCTTTATATATATTTTAACCATACAAATGCATCTATCAAACCCGCAATTAGTTGTAGGGCACTGGCTTTTCCCCCACGATGGTGAAGAATATTGAACATGCTGTGGACTGCCAAAAGAACAAACAAATCTGTCTTGCAAGAAGTACAGCCAGAATGCTCCTGGGATGAGAGGTTGGTGAGACTTTGTCTCACGTACTTCGGACATGTCATCAGGAGAGACCAGCCCCGGACAAGGCCCTCGTGCTTGGCGAAGCAGGGCAGTGAGAGGAGCAGCGCCTCGAGGAGGAGAATTGACGCAGTGGCTACAACAATGGCTTGCACACAGCGACTGGGAGGACGGCGTAGGACTGGGTGGTGTTCCTCCTGTTGGACACAGGGTCACTGTGAGTCAGAACTGGCCCGACCCGGCACCTAACAACAACAACAACAACAAATAAGCTACAGTAACACCCGAACCAAACTCACTGCTCGTGAATCCATGCTGAGTCACAGGCTATAACTGTTTATGGGAGTAGAAAGCCCAGTCTTCCTCCTGCAGAGTGGCTGGTGGTTTTGAACTGCTGACCATGCATATCTCAGCCCAAGCTGTAACCACTCCTATAAGATGCTCCTATAAGGACTCCTATAAGCTTAAGTAAAGAGTAGCACAAATAGTTGGATGTCAACCTGTAGCCAAAAAGTTGGTGGTTGCAAGGTGAACCAGAGATATATATAAAACATATAGAAAAAATGGACACATATAAAGCATACATTGATTTTGGGCTTGCAATTAACTCTAGCCTCAATCTAAGACTCTTGCTCTTCAACACTTTAAAGAGGACTATGCAGTAGAACTACCCGGTGTCATTTGTAGGTGTCCTTTATCAGGTTCAGGATGCTCTTTTCTATTCCCTGGGCATTCAGAGCCCTACAGCCCTGCTTCCCTGGATATGCTTCCCTTCTTCCCTAAGAACAGGGCTCACCCTCAAGAAGTGATCACTGAAGACATGGGTGCTATAACAAAGTATGGTGAAGAAACTAGATGGTGCTCAGCTATCAGAAGGAATGGCGTCTGGGGTCTTAAAGGCTTTTCTTCAAACAAGCAGACACCTAAGTGAGATGTTAACTACGTTCACAGGGAAGCAGCACACCAGCCTGTGTGATTCAAGGACTGCAAATAATAAAATCCAAATCCTAAGGAGGGAATGACATTTGGACTTAAATTGTGACTACTTGGTTGGAAAATGGCTATGGATGACAACAGAAGCCCAAAATCTATTTTCAGGGTTCATGCATGGGTTAAGTCTCCAGTAATCCCCTTTGATCACAGTTGAGAGATGTGAATACCCTTGTTATCAGACAGGGTGCATTGGAAAGTGGATTAAGCCTCTGGTAAACCCCCTCTGACCAGACTCATGATGTGCCTTACTATCATGCAGGACCCATGATACTGCCATGGAGCGTGGGTTATTGCAGACGCGGTTAAGTTAAAATTTAGCACCTTATCCTTTGGTCTCCCTTTTGATCCATTTTAATTTTTAATATTTTCTGCTTTCATTTTAATTGAGGATTTTATCTGTTGCACTTTGTTATTGCTATTAGATTTTTAAAATGTTTTTTTCTGTGTATGAAATTTGGGATAGGTAAGTGTTTGGGGGTAGGGGGTGGTGGGAGGGAAGAGGTCAATGTATAGAGACAGTAACTGAAAAGAAAAGGTTCCTTGGGGGTATGCCAAGGGAGGTTGGGGGGAAACGGGGGCGCTAATAACAATGAGTACAAGAGAAGAAAATGTTCTAAAATTGGTTGTGGTGATGACTGTACAACTCTTCTTGATGTGAAAAGTATTGTATGTGTGAATCTATGCCAATAAACCTGTTGGGGGAAACAAAGGCTAGTGATTCCCATCACCTACAGGCACCTGGAAAGTCAGTCCTCACAGTCTACTTCGGAGAGGTCACTGCCTGGCAACCCCATGAAGGAGGTCCACTCCACACCCAGGGCGCACCACATAACGGAACTGACCAGACCACTAACGAATAGCAACTGTGCCACCTTTCCCGGAAGACCAGGAACAAGGCAAGCGTCTCTGCTCTGATGATCTCCACTCAACCCCGGACTCGAGACTGCAGTCAAGAAAAGAAAAGAAATCAGTCATCCAGCCTGGAAGGGAAGACGCAAAACTGTCTTCAGAAGCAGGTGACTTGACTGTCTATGCAGAGAATCTGACAGGACTCGACATAAAGAGCGTTCTCTTCTTTGCTCCATGCCGCTTGCCAACTACAAAAAAATAACTCAGGGCAGATGAAAAACCTGCAGGTAAAACCCCAAACTACTAACCTAGGAGAAAATCCTTGTGACCTTGGGGTAGGCAAAGATTTCACCACTGTGACATCAAAAGCAGGATGGCTGGCTGGACAGTGTAAGATATGACAAAGTAATAATAATTTATAAATTATCAAGGGTTCCTGGGGGGGTCAGGTAAGGAAGAGAAAAAATGAGGAGCTGATAGCAAGAGCTCAAGTAGAAAGAAAATGCTTTGAGAATGATGATGACAACAAACGTACAAATGTGCTTGACACAATGGATGGATGGATGGATTGTGATAAGAGTTGTACAAGCCCCCAGTAATATGATTTTTAAAAAGGGCTGAAAATGTCTGCTCTGGATGCCATTGTTAAGACAACGAAGAAGCAGGCCAGAGGACATACTTGCAGATCTGACAACAGACTTGGGCCCTGGTGGCTTTTCAAGGTCGCCTCCTGGACCAACTGGTCACGACTAATGGGGCTTTGATTCCGAGACAGACTCAACTCTTTAAAACGGGATTTAACTGTGGAAGTATATGACAGTGAGCACTTCATCGTGAAAAATAGTTTAAAAACAAACAAACCAGGCTTGACCAATGGTTATCATGGGTGAGGGAGGAAGAGGTTTTGCTCAGGGGGGATTGAGTTTATGTTCATGAGGGTGGAATAAATTGGAAAAGGATATCAAGAATGGTTGTAAAACACGAAGGATCTCATCAATGACAATGAATTATACATGTAGAAGTTGTGGAGTTGGAGAATGTTTTGTTGTGTATATTTTGGTCACAATTAAAAAATATAATCACACGAATAATAATGAGTACAAGGAAGAAGAAACCGCTCTAGAATTGATTGTGGTGATAATTGTAGAACTCTTGATTTGATTGAATTGTTGAATTGTATGACATGTGGATGAAGTGCCAATAAAACTGTTGAAAGAGAGAGAGACAGATAGACTCAGGCAAGATAACGCAGTCGGCAGGAGCCGGCAGGGACTGAAGTTGGCAGCTTTGTAGCCTCTGTCAGACTTATTAAAACACAGGTTGCTGGGCTCTGCCCTCGGGATGTCTGAGTCACTGGGTGTTCGTGAATTCACATTTCCAGTAGGCTCTCTGGTGCGGCGGACACTGCTGGCCGGCTACCACCCTTTAAGAACTGCTGGTCTGGACTAATTTAGACTAATGGAGAAACAGAATCAGAAGAAAGCTTTCCACTCCAAAGGGCAATTTCTGATTAACCTCTCCTTATTTAGAAATCATTTGTTTTCCCGTTTCTGTTTCACTAAAGGCTCTGTAATGGTCAATCAGAGTTTCTGATCACTTGGGGGGGGGTGCCTCTGGGTTGAGCTCACACCTTGGGTTTCCACAAAGCTTTGCAAGCCCTCTCAGAAAGACTTCCCTGTTCAGAATCCGCCCTGGAAGCCATGCATGCCTCTACCAGCTGCCCCAGGACCGCAACAGGAAGGGCATCACCCTGCCCCACCGAAGCCCGTCAGAGGTCCCCCAGTTCCCATCTCATGGCCCGCCCCACGCAGGGCTGCTGCCAGGTCTCACCGTCCAAAATGGCCCACTGGTTGTCAATCTCTGTGTGCTTCAGGTAGGAGTCTTCGATGGTGGGGTCGTAGTCGGGCACAAAGATCTTCTGGAAAAACTGGATGGTGAGGGCACTCTTGCCCACACCCCCGTCGCCCACCACCACCAGCTTGTACGTGGGGAGGTTGTCACTGGGGACGGCGCTGGTGGCCATGTTTCTCGTAGGTCAGACCTGCGGAGGCAAGAC